TTAAACTGTCTTTATCTCAACCCACGAGTTTTCTCACTTTTACCCTTCCGATTCTCCCCCCCATCCCACCAGGGGAGAGTGAGCAAGTGGCTGTGTGGGGCTTAGTTGCCGGCTGGGGTTAAACCACGACATCCCTCCAATGAAAATTTGAATTCTACAGAAATTAGTTGCCTACAGGTCTTTCATCTCCAAGGAAGTTTCCTTCTTGCCTTAGGTTTTTTTTTCCATGCTTGATGAAGAACATCAATGAAGTAGGTACGTAACTGTTGAGAACCAAAGGGAGTGCCGTGTGGATTTGGGTTTGCAGGCAGGATCTGTGAGATCTTTCTCCCACTGTGGATTCTAAAGGTGATGCAGTGCTTCTCCAGAGCATGCCAGCCAGAGCATGCTCTTTTTGCAAAGAGCAAAAAGTAGCATGTTGGGCAAAAATTGGGGACTTTCCGTCTTTGATTTAAAATTGAAATAGCCATCAGTGGGGAGCTGTGTGAAGGAGACTGGGGATCCCAGGCTGGAAGGAGAAGGATGCCCTTAGGGACTCACAATGCAGTGGGAACTCCAGCTAGGGCAAGAGGACTGAAGAGGACCTCACGTCTCTCGGCACTTACGTTGAAGCTCCAAGATCTGACGGTGCTAATGTTCAGAGTGCCGTGTGCTGGTCTTGGTTAGAGGAGTGGGAGATTTGGGGATGGGATGCAGCCAAGACAACATGCAAAATAAACTCTGAACAGGTAGAAGGAGGCCCTAAGGAGGTGCTTGCTGGTTTTCTACCACAGTTTTGGCCCTTGTCAGCATTACCAGAATTGACAGGGGTCAGTGGAGGGCTTTATGCAAAGAAAAGGCAGCTGGTCAGGTTGACTTACTTGGGTCGCTGTGATCTCTATTATAATTGTTCCCTATGTGATTATTTTGAGGGTTGAGCAACTGAGAGCTGCATAAGAGACATGCAGCTTTATTTCTGCGATGTGTGAAATGTTCTGTGTTCATTTCAAAACCGTTCATTGCTCTTTCCATCAAAAAAAAAAAAATTCCGGAAGTCTGCAGGAATTTTTGTGAAGTCTAACTTTAAATGCTCACCTTTCCTTTTATCGCCCTTATCAGCACATAGAGCTCGGTATGTGAGGTTTTTAGCTGACATTTCAAATCGCTCCGAGTGTGCCTGTATCCCTTTTAAAGCAGCCTCCCCTCCCAGATCAGAAGTGACCAGGTTTTTTTTCTGTTAGACTCCATGTTCCTTTAATGTTTTCCTCCTAATAGATGTTGAAAGCGTTCTTCAGAGGCACGGCACAAAACATTCAAATAGTGATAGGAGCCAGCTGAAGAGAGTTGTCAGAGAGAGGGAACGTTAGGAGAAGGATTGAATACAGATGGATTCCTCAAAAGTAATGTAACCTGTTATGATTGCTTTGAAATCCTATACCCTTTCCATCTACTTACGCTTACCGAAAGTTTACATTTGCATTGATGTATTAGAGGCAGAGCTAAAATGGAAGTAATCCCTGTTGTATACATGCTTAAGTGTGTAATTTTAGCTAAATACAACAGTTGTGACCAGACTCTTGCCTGCATCCTCAGTGGGAAGTCCACAGCCATGGAGTGCTGCAGGAGAGCCCGTCCATCCCAACTCCTCCAGAGGGGCCAGGGACCACCCGGCACCCATCTGCTCGCTCTTGGTTCCTTCAGCCATCTCAGATCCATGCCTGACAAACTCTTCAGATGCTCTCTCCTGCTCTGCCTTTGTATCAGCAGATACAAAGGAGAAATTGATTGATCTCTGCATTTTTTTTTCTATATATCATAGTGCTTTCTTAATATACTGTGAGAATAATCCATGCTGCTTCCAGATAGTCCTGGCAGAAGGTCCACTAGAAGTTGATGCTATATTTTAATTGGGTTATCCAAAAAGCATCCGTCTCTTTGCCCGCAGGGAAGGCCTGAGCTGTCCGTCATTCCTGCCTCAATTTAAGAGGTTGTATCAGCCTCCATCACGCAATTGTCATATCGGATGTGACAGGAGGGTTGCACTGCACAGCGCTCCTTTAATGCTCAGAACGGACCGTTACGCAAGGGGAGAACTGGTGAAGGGGGGGTGGTAAGGTTTTCACTTATTATACCTTGCTTTTTAGGGTGAACTTGTTCAAATTATTTCCAGCCTTAAATATTTGCCCTAGAAAGCTGTTCTGAAAACTGGTGGAATATAGAAATAAGGTTGCTCCAGTGCATTTACAGTGACAGACAGAAAGTTTGTGTGCTAGATGACGTCCGTGGTGACTCGCCATCCCACGGTGCCCGTAAGCGTTCGTACCCAACTGACTCTGTACTGCACCCAAGCGTGGAGAAACCTCACAAGACCGCCTTTGCCTCAAACAGTCGTGAAAAACCTCAGGTGACTCAGTTTTGGATGCTCTTTGCACCACTCTGCAACTACACTGAGCTTTGTCCTCCGAGGAGAAATAGCTTGGAGGTGTTGTTGGTTTGTGGCAAGCAAAATATTAGTTTTCTCTTTGTCAGAATAGGAGGGTAATTTGTTTCTAACTGACCCCATAATGGACCTAAAACAATATCGTTTTTCTTAGTGACCAGCAAATATCCATGACGCCTTGTATTACAAGGAAAATTGGTTCTAGGAGCAGAAGGACATGGTGAATAGGAGCTATATGAGTTGTGTGCTAGCTGAAAGCTATAGCCCTGTCAAATTCAGGTTTTAAAATACTTTGGTAATGCTTCCATCCTTGTACGCTGAGTTCCATATTATACATAAATTATTCTGAAGAGCTCTACCTTAAATGGATTGTCTGCTAGTCCCAGTTCATGCAGTGGCTATCCTGTGTTCGTACTCTGTACAAATATGCAGAAACGGCCAACTTTTGCCTTTGCCTGGTGACTTCCTCGCCTCCAGTCCTTCCATCTGTGCATTTCTCATGGGTTTCCTTGTCTTATCGAAATGTAAACTCATCAGGGCAGGGACTGCTTTCTGTTGTCTGTAGGACTTTGACCACTGCAGTACAGCCAGAAAAGCTTTTCGCAGCAGAACAGGGAAGCACAAATTGCGTGATATGTCCTCCTTGGAGGTGTTTGCTCAAGGTCCATTACAAACCACATCAACTAGGTGCTGGTTACTGAGTTACTTAATAAAAGATCATGCTGATGAGCTTCGTGATCTGAATTAAAACAGGACTCTGGTTTTCAGAGCTGGTAACAGAGCTTGGAAAACCCAGGAATTTATCAACTTCAGGATATCTTACAAATGCTGCTCTTCATGCAGAGGGGTAGGCAGGGAGAGTGAGGGATTAAATGATGCTGTTATTGGTGTGAATGTTTCAACTTGTTCCTCCTTCTGGCAAACTGCAAAATGACTTGCAGTGACAACAAGATGCCTGCATGGCCTGACTGTCCTGCGGTATAGCAGAGCTAGAGGCACGCTGGCAGCAGTAGCTTTTCTATGCCAGTGGCAGAGTCAGTGTGAAGGAGCTGCTTGCCTGCTTGTTTCACAGGCTGCTTCACCATTAATGCAGGTCTCCTCCTGAGCAAGGAACTCTCTTCCCAAGTTAGCTCACGCAGGCAGTCTCTCTTCTACCATTTTCTTTAAGAAGAGGAGGTTGGCCTGCTCGCACGTGTACTTGAATAACGTGTCTGCAGGACAAGGCATGTGGTTGTGTACAAAGTAGCCTCCATAGATCCACGGCCAGATTGTCCATTGGAAAAGCTGGTGCGATTAGATGGTCCTTCCTGGTGGAATTTGCAAGTGCTTGATGTACCCGAGTGTGACGTTCAAGGTCGGCTTTAGGTACTGCATTGTTAGCAACAGCCTTTTCTTGCTTTACCTCCCTCTCTTGGCAAACATGTTGTAGTAAAGTAGAGAGGGGTGCAAAAGCAAGCATAGAATGGGTGAGCCGTGCTACACATCCCTTGCAGTTGGAAGAGTAGAAAGAAACCTGATTTGACTAAGAAAAATGCTGTCGTATTATCTAGGTGTTGCTTTCAGATGTCCTGCCTTGCTCATAGAATGACGATGCTAAGCAGTTAGCCGATGGACACAATAAATCCTGATGGGAACTGGACTTCTTCCATATAGTCTTGTTCCCTCTCTTCTTCAATTCTAATAGTATCACTGTCATTACCCCACGAATTCCCTTTTGCTTCCAGTTATGAGTCAAATTGTTCATGGTTCTATCAGTGCAACTTAACACAGCTTAGTCTGTAGCCTGTCACCGATGCTGGGGCTCCAGGCAGGGTCCTTCTGCCCAGTGATGCAGAGAATGCTCAAGGCTGTGTCCTTCTAATTTGACTCTCTCATTTTTCTTGCAGGCATGGGTCGTGGAGAGAGCCTGTTAACCCTTACTATGTCAACACAGGCTATGCTTTGGCACCAGCGACCAGTGCCAACGACAGCGAGCAGCAGAGCATGTCCAGTGATGCCGATACGATGTCGCTGACGGACAGCAGCGTGTAAGTAACTCCAGTCTGGTGGGGCAATAAGTGGGACAATAGCGTGTTTGTTTCTGTAGCGGTGGTGCTGCTGTTGTGTTGGTCTGGGGGAGGTTTTGCCACAGCTGGTGTTGGGGGGAATATCTGACTAGACCAAGGTCGTGATCATTCTCGCTTTCCTTTCAAGCAGGATTGTTTTGTCACTGTGCAGGCTACTCAGCCTTGCCGGTCTTGGGAACATTTGCAAGATCAAATGGTTTGAGTGAACTAAAATAAACGATGCTCGGTCGGAGTTCCTGCAGTGTTTCTTGCCAGGTGCAAGAATATTGGAAACGTTGGATGGCTTTGTAGTAAGTGTTTTGAGATGTAGTATCTTCTGAATGTCAGACAGAGCTTTCTGCTTAGCTGGGTACTTCTCCTCTGGAGGTTTTTTGCTGCCAAATTGTGCTCAGTCTGCAATTGCTCTTCAGTAGGATTGGTGACTGACCAGTTGTAGTTTATGTCTGGTGACCGCTGCACTTTAACACAACTTGTACCGATAAGCCTCTGCCAAATCCTTTTTGCTTTTTTCTAGTTCCTACCTTCATGACAGCACCCTGTATCTCACCCATGAGATACCTTCCTTAAAGATGGTCTGCAAAGGGAGAAAAAAGGGGTTACGGGATTTTGTTGTGACTGCATCTGTGTGATAAAAAAAAGGATTGGGGCAAAAATATTCAATGTTTGGTCTGTTTTTTAGTAGTGCAAATGCAAAGTGTCCTTCTGTAGAGCAGAAACCCTTTGATTCTTCAAGTGAAAGATGACAGGTTTACAGAATTAGGAGAGGGTTTTATTAATGGCAGTGCTGTAAACACAAAGTCCTCCAAGAGGCCCGTTTAGTGTCAGTGTGAATGTCAGGAGCTGTCAGACCTTGTTGGAGAAACTTTCTAGCCTGTGTTGCGGATGTTAATGGGTGCTGCAAGAGTTCCCCACCTGCCCTCAGTTAACACAGTGAGCTGGTGAATGTGCGACATGGTGAGGGCGCTTTTGTATCTGCTGTGGTGGCTCTATGCGAGACGGTAGCGTGTTTGTCTCTAGCTCTGCAGAGGCTTGGAGCCATTTAGGAGCAGTTATTGAGTCCGCTCTGCTCACCGGCACCGGCTCCTCAAACCTTATCCATGTCATGTTGCAAAATGGAGGAGGCAGACCTTGGCCAAAGGGGCATGGGAGGCGGAGGATGCCCCTGGGACAGAAAGCTGTAGAGGACCGCTAATTAAAGGCTCAGTTTGATACAAATCCAGCTGCTTTGCCACATCCTTCTGCGATTCTTCATATTCATCAATTTATATGGAGGGGTACTCTGAAGCTAGCAGGGGTCATGTAACTTCTTGTTATCAGGAGAGACAGATGTAAGAACTCTCCAAAATTAATTAGCTTTTAGCACTTCCTTTTCCACCGGTTCAGCGGGCTCGTGGGATTGCACTGATGGTTATACCTGTGATAAGTTGTGATCATTTATGCCAGAGTTCTTCACCCTCCTAATTTTTATTTCAGTAGCCATAATTTATTTCTTTCACAGGCAGAATAATTTCTGTTTGACCATCCTATGCATTCTTTATTCTTTGCTCCTTTTTCCTTTAGGCATTTTATCCCTTCTATGCCCACCATAGGCTGCTTCTAGGACTTTAATTACCACTGATACGTGTGCTGCCTTCTGCTAATAACTAACCCAATCTCAGTGGTTCATTTTAAGTAAGTCTCAAAAATCATAAGGGTAGACCTGTGATCTTTCTTCCTGTGCATCTCAAACTGGATGCATGCAGATTGATCTCCAAATTGGGATTCTGGACATACAGCCTTGACCTTTGGCTTACAAGGACTCTGTCTGCTTTCAACACTTGCTCTTCATTACATCCTTTAAAACTCCAGTACCAGGTTTTGTTCGGTTTTTACATGGCATTGCTGAACCTATCTGCCTCCTGAGTTTCAAAGGAATTTTTGCAGAATTGCTCAAGGCAGCAAAAATGAAGAACAACCAGACGCAAGTTAAAGAAGGGACTCCTGCTGCTTGACAAGACTTGCATGTCTCATTGCTTTGGATTTAGGCCTCCTCTGAGGAAAATGGCAATAAAAGCCTTGTTTGCTGATGAGCGAGGTTCTTCCCTGTGTGTGCTGTTTGCATACAGCAGTCAAGCTCAGTAATGAAGAAATCTAGCTTCTGCTCCAAGGCAACGCATGAACTGGGTGTGATCCCAAGGCGGAAACCTCCGTGACCCTCCATCAGAGGAGAATGTGTCCAGACAATCAGGATGCAAACGTCGGCTAATTGAGGAGTGCTAATAGTAAACCAGGAAGGAGTGTGGGCGCACAGAGAGCATGGCTTGATGCAAGGCGTGCTCTTCCAGTGCTGGCCAACTCAAGTTGGTGGAGAAGGCAGACACACTGAGCGGCTGCTTGTACTCTGATGTATTGCAGTTGTCACCAGCTCCCGTCCAAGCTTTGATATTGTATTGATCATGACAAAGCGGGGTTTGGATGTGGCTGCATGCACAGCCCAGCTGTGCAAAGCTGCTAGCAAAGACCTGGGCGATGCTCTGGCCATCTGGCCTCCTGAGCTGGGGCAAAGGGAGGCAGGCGCAGGCTTTTTGGGAGCGCCCAGCTCACCTAAGTGTTTTGAAAAGTCATTTCTGTGCTACCAGCTACAAGCACGCTTGCCTAAAAGACAAACTTTCAACAGGATGTCTTTCCAAGCGCTGGTAAATATTGTTCTAATGGGTTGAATTTATATAACGAATATGTTATCAGTCCCTGTTGTTCGAGGAGTTTGCTTTTTGAGTGGCTTAAAAAACATTGCTCTTAAATGCCTGCACTCCGCTGATTATTTTTCAGTCTTCCTGTGTCATACAAATTCCTTTGCCCTTGTAGGCAAAACAGCTCAGGTCCTCTCTGCTGAAACCTGTTTTTATAATCGGCATGGCAGCTGTGTTGTTTTAGCTGGTTTATGTGGAGACAAGGTCTGGAGAGGACACGGTGAAAAGCTCTGGCGAGCGCTAGCCCGGCAAGCATGCCGTGGCCACAGGTGGGGCTGAGTTGCTCACCGCTGGTGTTCAGTGGTGGGTCGGGGCTTTGAGGCTCTGCCTCCCTCCTAGGCTGCTCAGAGCCTGCCCCAGGCTTGCGACGGCATTTATGGTGAGTCCTGAACTGCTCTTGCTGTCTCAGATAACCCCTGCATACGGATAGCATCTTCCCCAAGCAGAGGGGGCAGCCGCTGGGGGGGTGGGGGGGTGTCACAACAGAGACGCTCAAGGGAAATTAAGGTAAATCTAGGTAGGAAGGCAACAGGCAGAAGCTGAAATGCATTAAATCGCCATGTGATGTTCCAATTCAGATGCAGAAATACTTCAGGTCCATCTCTTTCTTCTCTTTATTTCTGCAAGAGCTTACAATGGGTAAACAAGAGGTAATGCCTCCTCTTTAGCCCAGTGCTGTGGTCCAACTAAACAACAATACTCCTTCCTCTGGGTCCTATCATGTGTCCTGGCTTATCTTGGTTGGGAGATGAGCTTTGCCTTCCCCCGGGCGCTTGGGAAGCCTTTGGTGCCCATGGGCTTGGCCGGAAGGATGCTCGTTCTTCCCCAATTCCAGTCGAACCTGCCCTAGAGTAAGGATGGCCATTCCCCAGAGCAAAGGGGTTTAGGACAGTGGTTACTCCTTCAGAAAACCTTGCAGATTAAATATTATTCCTTGGATGACTGGCCTTTGGCCAAAATGCCTGGCGATTTTCCCATCGTGCTTCTTTATGTGAGAAAGGTCTCTTGGTGACAGTGGTGCTTTGATAAGAGTAATTGGTAGAAAATATCAGCTTCGCTGTGGATTTGTTTCCTGTCTTTCCTACGGCCAGTGATCCAGAATGACCTTGAGTCCTGCTATACTTAAACAAGTTTAACAGCTTTTTAATTTAAAAGATCCTCAATGATGATTTTCAACTTGTTAGGCTTAATGGTTGGGTTTGGAGGCTGTCTACAGAGGAGCAAAGACAGCCCTTGTTAGAAGAGTCCAACTGCAGAGCCACAGCAAAACCTCCCTGCTCACCAGAGGCTCTTGCAGGTTGGTTTGGAGGGGAGAGGAAGCCCCCGCGTTTCCCCAATAGCAAACCAATTGCATTACCATTACATAAACGATAGAAATACTCTTGCTCCCCCCGTCACATTTCAGCGCAGAGCTTTCTGGTGCTAGAGAAAATCACGTGATGAAACAAGGAAAAACAGTTTGGGAAAGTTTTATTTTAAAAGTAGATGTGCTCTAAAAAAGTTTTATATATATAATTTATTTCTCTATCTATTGAAAACATCTCAAAGCAAGCTGCCTGACAAAAGGAAAACAAAAGTACGGTATTGGTTTTCCTTGCTTTCCCCCCATCTATTGAATAAGGTTTTGTTGGGATAAAATTAAAGTGCTTATCTTTGAATTTGCTTCCTCTGGTTGAGTTGGCACAGTACATTGAACGAAGGAATGTTCCAAGTTCAGAGGTGGCATTGGGGAATCTAGTTAAAATGACATCAAAGGCAGCACAGCGGGGCTGAACATGTGTTTGAAGCCGGATAGATTAGAGGCCATTATCAGCCTTTCGCTACTGTGCTGGGAACAAAAGTCGCTCTTTCCGCTGGGACTGCTGCTGGGGAGAATTAAAAAAAAAAAGAGAGAGAGAGAGAGAAAGAAAAATTGCACCTTCTACTATAATGCCGCTTTTCCCGCGAATGGCCGTGCGGCTTTAGCGTGCGAGTTGTGTTCTGGTGCCCGGGTTTTGTGCGGCGGTTAAGCTGAAATGTTGTCTATTGATGCCGACCAGCGATGGCTAAAATAATCCCCCAGATTTCCCCCCCCCCCATAAAAATTGCCAGTTGTTTTGTTGCCATCCAGTCTGGAAAGAGCCGTGTCGTGATGCGATGAAACTCTTTAACCATTGTGACTCTTAAGTTATTTTTCAAATGGAGGTTCGTCATTAAAGAAAATGAAGCCACCTAATGAAAGCTATCGTAATAGCCTGTCGGTATAGCAACGCTTGGGGAAATTGCTCTGCTCCCGTAATGTGTCACTGCCGGGCGCAGCGGAGGTGATGCTCCCAGACACGCTCTTCCTCCTCCCGCATTACCTGCAGCCACTAGCCAGAGCTGTAATTAGCCTGGCTAATTTTCTGTTCTCTCATTTGTCTTCCTACTAAAAAGCACTTGTCATTAATCACGGGTTTTATTTTATTTTAACGGTGTTTAATTTGGATGCCTGGGTTACTGCATGAAATTCCATTCTTCTGATGCCTGCACCCACATTTCCAGGGAGCCAACGGGGCAGCAGGCACGATGGAAATGGGAAAGAGAGCTGATGGTGGCCATCCTTGCACAGGCTGGTGCTTGTAACTCGGGAGGTTTGCAGGCAAAACACTGCAGTAAATTGTGTTTCCCTTGCCAAATGGCATCTTGACTTTAAAAATCTGCTGGTTACACTGTTTGGTTTATGTTCTCAAGCAGCTGTGCTTGGCAATTGGGGAGGGGGGTAGATGCTAACTACGTTTGACTTGTGCAAACATCTTGTCGTTGTGAGATGCGTTGGGACTGGCTCGTTTGCCCTGCTCGGAGTGGTGCGGGGTTGGAAGGAGACAGCATGTGTGCGTGGTGTTTCCCTTGCCAAATGGCATCTTGACTTTAAAAATCTGCTGGTTACACTGTTTGGTTTATGTTCTCAAGCAGCTGTGCTTGGCAATTGGGGAGGGGGGTAGATGCTAACTACGTTTGACTTGTGCAAACATCTTGTCGTTGTGAGATCGTTGGGAGTTGGGACTGGCTCGTTTGCCCTTCTCGGAGTGGGGCGGGGTTGGAAGGATGTGTGCGTGATGCGTTGGGACTGGCTCGTTTGCCCTGCTCGGAGTGGTGCGGGGTTGGAAGGAGACAGCATGTGTGCGTGGAAGTTATTTGGTACTTCAGACAAACCAATCCCTCCATTCATTTCCACCCATTTCTGTGGCATCGCACGGCCTTTCCAAACGGTTCCTTTTACTGAATCAGGGAAATGCGTAAAATAAAAAAGGAAAGCTCCAAATTGCCAAGCTCCAGGCTGGCATTTGTTTTTGCATTCATTGATTTTTCTAAAAATAGCCTGGTATCACCAGGAGATGGGCCCGTGTCCTTATCTCGTAACTGGGCTCCACTTCACTCACATTCTCCTCGTCCCTGGGTGTAAGCAGGGTGGTCACAATGGTGAGAACAAAAATGTGTTTCCTTTCTTCGCCTGAAGTCAAGTGATGCTTTGCCGTTAGGGGTGCTTAGCAAACCCTGGTGGCTCTGACCCCCCGAGCCCCCGTCACGGGGACCCACATGCACCCAGGCCACCGTCTTTGCAGAAGGGCTGCACGCGGCTCAGCAGAGCAGGTCCACACCATCCCCCAGCTCGCAGCAGAACCACGGACCCGGCTCCCGGTCTGTCAGGACCAAGGATTGTTGCCACCACTGCCTCCTTCCTCTGCAGAGACCTCTGTCACCAGCTTTTTCAGCAAGGGCACAAACCCGAGCAGAGCTGGTTCAATTGCGTGTCGCTGCCCACGGCATCCCTTCCTAACCCTGTCCAGCCTCCTCTGGGCCGAGGGCTAGGTTCTCTCCCACAGTAACTCCAGTATCAAGCCCATAATTTCAGACTGAGCTAGAGATCGTCTTAAGAGCAGTGGAGCCTACCCCTTCGCTTTGATAAGCCATTTAAGAAGTTGTCACGCTCTCTTAAAAATATATACCTTGTCCCCCGACCGAGTTCCCCTTGGTGTAGATGCTCACTGAGCTCCCACTCCTCCTCCCACTCCTAGCCTGCCCTGTGGTTTACTGTGTACATTACAGGCTCTTTTATAGAAAGCAACCAACTATAAAAGGTACCAGGATGCGGTCCAAGTCCTTCTCCCTGCCCTCTGCCTAGGGCAGCGGTCGCAGGAGCCCTGCCTCACTCTGCTCCCGGCTGATGCCGTGTAAGTCCCCTCGGCACCCAGTGCCAGAGCGTTGCTGGTGCGGGGACCTTGGGCGAGCATCGTTCCCTACACAGATTCCTCTTGCGAGTACCTCTGCGCTCGCCCTGGGCGTGCAAAGCCTTTCTCAAACATAAAGGGGTTTCCTACCTGCCACTCTGTGGCAGCGAGGCTTAGATGAACGTAATGTATTGGAGAAAGGCACTAAAGCAGGGCATGTTGTTGTTTTATTCCGGCAGAGATGGGATCCCACCGTACAGACTCCGAAAGCAGCATCGCAGAGAGATGCAAGAAAGTGCCAAAGCAAATGGACGTGTGCCACTACCTCACATTCCTGTAAGTAGCACTGTCTCCTTCCCCAGAGGTAAATATGCAAAATATGTGAGATCTCTAGCGTACAGTTGCTCTGCTTGCTCCAGTTTAACCCCCCTTAGCGCTGTATTCATTTGGGCATGTTTTAAGATGGAAATACACCGTGCTAAGAAAGGGCTTGGTAGCTGCCTGCCAAACTCCTCATCCAGGGCTGCCCAAAACGCATAATTTTTCTTAACCGTTCAGTCAGTAGCCGGTTGTTTCTCCCGGACAAGAATGGAAGCGCTGGCTGGCATCTACCTGTAGGGAGTTTATGTGCCCTCGGGTGAGCTGGAGGTGTTTGTGGAAGGTGTAGGAGGCCATTGGACGTGGAGGCTGCTGTAGCTCTCAGCCAAGGTCAGCTGGGGAGAAATGCAACTGTCCCGAGTGGTATTTCTGCACTGGGCAGCCAAAGGGAGCTGTAACCTGTTCTCAAGGACTCGGCAAAGCCTGCCTGGGGGTATGAGGCAGGAGAGCAAAGAAGGCGCAGGCGTTAAGTATTTCATTTGTCTGATACTGTCTGTCAGGTTGCTCCAGGTGAGCAAACAGCTTTGGAAGATGAACATACCTGCTAGGGCTCTGCAGCACCATCTGCAGCTCTGCTTATTATTACTTTCTTTCTGTGAGAAGTTACAGGTGACATTTAATATCTAGCAGGGAATAAAGGTGCTTCTTTCCCCTTTGGACAGCTGGACTCCAGCACAAATCAAATAGGGAGGGAAAAAAGCCTCCGCCTCCATCTGCTTTTTCCAGAAGTGCCTTCAAACTTGACGCAGCTGTTCTCATCCTGCCTGCTCAAAGCAGCACAATACCAGCAGAAATACACCCTTGTTTTAATCTGATTTAAAAAAAAAAACCCCAAACCACCACTCTTTGTTTTGCCTTTTAAATTAGATTATTTTCCTTAGATTTAAGAGGGTCTCCTGTGCTTTGATCACTGGGTTGACAATAAAAGCCCTGGCTGCGGACGCTCACTAGCCATCCTTGCTCAGTCACCTCTCTTTTCACACAGTTGCTTTCACAGTGTGGTCGCTGTTGAAAAGGCTGGCTGGGTGCCTTTTTATTTCACTTGATGCCATTTTTACTGTAAGCATGGCTTTGTTAGAATTGAAGTTTGAAAGCTTGGCCTTTATTTTTTGTTGTTGTTGTTGTTGCTGTTCCCCAACAGTGGGAACTACCAAGTGAATATTCTCCGACTTCAAAGCTTGTCAGTGGCTTTACCTTTTGGATAAAAATAATAGTGGCTTTCTGTTGATCGTGTGCACTGGCAATGCCTCGATGAACTGCAGGTTATAGACTCAGAGTATGGAGCATTAAATATGTATAGTGAGCTCTGCTTTAACGAACTTCCATCTGCCAAACATTTCTTTTGTTGAACTGAATAAGTGTCATTCCAGCAGCAGTTCCTTGCAGGCTAATTAGTTTTACTTAGCATTAAATTTTATCGACCCTTTTGGAAACCAGTTAAAAAAGAGGGGGGAAAAACAAGGTTTAAATTGGCCACCTGCTGCTCATAAATTTTTATATTCTCCTACTTATCTACACAGTCTTTTAGAATTACATATACCTCCTAAACTACACACAGACACTTCACAAGCATTTTTCTGTGAAACATCCGCTGTTCCCATTAGATTCTGCACTGTAATTTTAAGTCCCAGGGAAAAAGGCATCTTGACGCATATTTATATGGGAGCAGAGGACTGAGAAGTCGAGTTAGTTCTAGACTTTCTCCAGGGAATAAAAGTTTAGTTCAGACACTCTGGCACCTCCTGCCAGCCAATTACTGACACAGAATTGGCATTGACTTCAGAGAGGCACTGCTCTGCCCTCGCTTATCAATCAGCCAAGAAAGGAGAAGGTAATTAGACAATATGTTTTGACAACACCAGTGTGAAATGTTATAAAGTTAGTCTTTTAAAATCACCTCTAACTGCACGCTTATTGAATTAAACTTCGCCAATTAGCAAGGAGCCATGCAAATGTTTCTTCAAGTGTTACTTTCCAAAGCGGGTGGTTAGGATATCTCGCAGCCCGTAGCTAAAGCAGTCTCCATCAGCCGCCTGGACCTGGTGGTTAGCGTGCTTTTAAATGTGTAGCGATGACTAAATTGCAGCCTTTGAGTGAAGGTCTTTATGGACTCATATCTAACCAGCGTAGCCAGAGTCCATACTGATAGTGCTTGCAGAATGCATGGCATGTTTTCCTAGTGATAGCAGAGAACCTCCTACTTCCAAAAAGTCATTTCAGAAGTCCTTTGGAGACCTTACCATTCCCTTATAAATGAGTTATGGGGCTATTATGCAAAATTCTGAAAGAACTTATACTGCTTTTAATAGCAGCACTTTTAGTTAGGTCCAGAAGCTATAAACTGTAGTGATTAGATGTTCATAGGAGACTGCCCGCTAGTTTCAACAGCAATGCTGCCTCCAAGTAACGAAGGCATGTACTGGTTATGTAGGATGCCCTGCTATGCAGCAGGAGATCTTGGTGCGTGGATGGCTGTGTTCTGCATATTCCACACTTATAAACTCACCAATGCTCAATAAGTTTGGAAAAGTTGTGTTTTGTGAAATGATGCTCTGCCCAGGAATGCAATGGGTGAAGGTCTCTAGCAAGCAACGAGACCTTTGTTTTGTGCCTCTCACAGGAATCCATTACACGGAGGGTGAGTGTTGCTTTTCATGGGGTTTTCCATCTCTCTCTTGGATTCGAGCGGAGTCTTGGAGCACCAAGGACGGAAAGAGCAAGCAAGTTCCCAAAGGAAGGGTGAAAGCCCAGAGAATGCAGGGCCGTACCTCTGCTATTGCACTGTATTTACCCTGGCTCTGGCATTCATCTGTGCCCAGGAGAGGATGGGAGATGCTCCTTTCCCAACAAATTCAGAAAAATCCAACCTCAAGCATTGACTTGGGATTCCTTTTTTTCTGGCATTCATCCGTGCCCAGGAGAGGATGGGAGATGCTCCTTTCCCAACAAATTCAGAAAAATCCAACCTCAAGCATTAAGACTTGGGATTCCTTTGTTTGTTTGTTTGTTTGTTTCACTGCATAAAGAAGCCATTTTGTGATGTTCTTGCTGTAGCTTGATCGTCGGGTGGGAGCTCTCCTGTCCTGCCCCACATTCAAGGAAGCTGCAGCTCTTTACACTATTCCCACATGAGAAGAAAAAAAGTAGAAGCAGCAGCAGAGTGGGTCAGGCTGATAGCTGAACTTTCCCAGAAGGATGTCCTCTGTGCAGAGGTGGCTTCCATAGTGTTCTTGAGTGGAACAGAAGATTTTGAGTGACCACTCTGCAATGCTGTAAAAGTGAGGAGTGTACAGGAGGAGCCCTGGTCTCGTGCTGCCTGGATAACTACAGCTAAATGAATGAGCTTTCTGCTCCTGCGAGTTGGAACCTGCTCAGAATTCCCAACAGCCATTTTATGCCTTTTTCCTCAAACGCCTTGCAGCAGTGGGACTCCTTGCTAATCCCTGAATGCTGCTAGAGTGGATGCTGAAATCCAGCTATCCGTGAGCTCTGCCACAAGTGTTTCTGGTATGGAAACACCATTTATCCTTTAAAAACATATGTCACAGTGGAATGCATTATTAATCTGGGAAACGTGGACGTTCAGAAGTTCTTTTCTCTTGGGTTCTCTAGCCTGCCATCTTCATTTCATCTCCAAGACTGACTATTGATCTAACATCGGCCACTCGAGCGCCATGGAGGCATCAAACCTCCTGTAGAAGAGGGAGATTTACCACAAAGAATTCTTTGGCCCAGTCGGATCTGTCAGAAATGGTTCAGCCCAACCCATGGGTCCCTGGGGCTGGTTAGAGACTTCTGCCCAATGATAACATTGGAAAACTTACTGTTTCATCTCAGAACAACTGAGGTTTATTCTTCCCAAGGGGAATCCGCAAGCCGCAGTGAGATTATTCCCCTTCAGCTTTTTCACGTATAGATCATAGTAAAACCACACATTTAGGATGCCGGTGTGTTCTGATGTGCAGCTTGATCCTCAAACCTCAGTTTCTCAGGGAAGGTGAAATCTATGAAATCCAAGACTTGCATCTCCCTCATGGAGCAAAATCCATGCAACCTGCTCCATTGGCTCCAAGAAAAGAAGGAGAAAATGTGATAGCAGGTGCTAAATGGAACTACTGGAGAGCTTGTGTATCTTGCATGTTCTTAGCAGGCTGCTTCTTCCCAAAGGTACCAGAGCTTCAGACACTTCACATGTCAAGGACAGGGGACAGTGTTCTGGTGATAGGTACCCCAAGAAATCCTTCCTCGCAGCTGTCACTAGGAAAGATTGCTCCATCCAGACCAGTTCAAGCAATTTCTTTCTTGCCAACCCATCCGGTATTCAGCCTCCCAGCTGTTGTTCTCTGCAACCTCCCCAGCTCAGCATGGTTTGGTTCTGGATAGACCTTTCTGAACTAGTGGCATTAAATGAAAGTAGATAGATAATTAAATAAAACATTAGATAAAACAGCCGTAGAGAAAACAATTCTTTAAAATTAAGCGCTTCCTTTCTGAATTGTTGACCCAGAATGGCCAGAGGTCTCATTCTGGTCCAGACTGGAGGGCTGGATCCTCCAAAACCAGCCAGCTCTTGGAGAGTGCTGCACCCTTTACTTGGAACAAAAGCATTTGGAGCCCTTCTGATTTCAGAACAATAAACAGCGTATTTACGACTCCCTTGGCAGGGCTGTGTATGCCCACAGGAAGCAGGGGGCAGGTTCTAAATCCTGAAGCCCTGAAGGATCCTCCTCTGGGCACAGTCTCAGCCTGGCTGGTTTTTGATGGAGCGTGTCTCCCTTCCGAAGTCAGGCCCGTCATTTGATGAAAGTTTCAAACACTGTTGTCTTAAGCCTTTTGAACCAGGTCAATGCAGTCCTTGTTTGCTGTCCAGGGAGATAGAGCGAGCCCTCAGCAGTTATCTATATTGTTTCAGCACAGGGAATTTGCATTCATTAGTCTGCGATACTATTAGTTTTAGGGAAGTCTGTGTAGCTCATCCTTTGAGCTAGGGATGAAGTCAGACCGATGGCGATGTTCAGAGCATCATCCTGCTTGCCAGCTTTCTGTGAGTCACCGTTACAGGTACCCGCCAGGACAACGTAGGGCATGTGCAACTGGTATCTGTGGGGTGAAGTGAGGGTTTATTTCGGTTGCATTGAACTTGGATGGTCAGGGAGACCCTTGCAGAGATGGCTTCACAGAGGGGACTGCATCTTGCACCCTCGAACAGGCTGCTGAGGACCTCTGCAAGTTGTGCTGGGTGGAAAGCCCCAAGGACGGGACAGTGGGTTTTGCAGATGCAGCGGTTTATTGAAGAGAGAGGAAAACGAGTTCATCCTAAAGATTCTTGAGTTTAATTTCCATTTCTGTAGTTGAACTTCAGTCACCTCCAGACTTTGAGAGACTGTGGATTAACATGCTGAAGTATTAGTTGTGAAAGACCAAAATCATCTTATCTCGAGTTCCCTGGATCCAGCAGTGACCCTGAATGTCTTCAGATCCTCATTAGAGACGGAGCTGTGGTCCTTAAACGTTGCTGGGCCTCGAGGGAACCACCTTACTGTAACAGGACTTGAACACGCAGGTCAGCAAACGTCAGCCTTTGCACCCGCTGCTGCTCAGGGCTCGGGAGAGACTTTGGTTTGGGATGCTGCATTGCATCAAAGGCTATGAAAATAAAGGGAAATTCTTCCCCGGTTCTGCTTTTCTGTGGAAGCCACTGCGGTAGCTGCAACGGGGAGACTCGAGACTGTAACTGCTGAGCACTGAGCTGCCTCTCATTAGACTCATTAAGTTTCTAACGGAACAGGGCTTGGTGCTGCCGTCGTATAAACAACCGCAGGGAGAGTTGGCATGTCTGAGGTGGCAGGAGGGAATGAACACATCACCCAACGGGTTGCGACTTGTCAGGCGAGAGAGAAATTTCCCTCCTCAGGAATCGCTGGTGCTGCCTCATGAGATGGATGGTGGTGGTCATGGGTTTGAGGTTTCTGATGAAAGCAGACTCCCTTAGACAGAAGTGCTCCCCTGGGCTACATGGGGGGAATGGAGAAACATCACTTGGATCCTAGAAGCTCCCCAGGGAGTAACAGAGCAGGGACCAGCTCTGCCACGTCTTCCCCCATGATGGAGCCCGTCTGGGGCCCATTTTTTGGACAACACAAGGTCCAGGCGCTGGGACGAAGCATGCCACTTTGGCTTTTGTGCCAATATTTCAAGACTAAACGTCATTTTTGTTGATGAAAAGCTTTTTCCCCGGTGTTTCTTTTTAATACAGGCCATTGATTTGCAGGGCTGGAGGTCCTGGTGGCAGTAAAGACTTCGTCATCCCAGGGTGGGAGGCACCTGGTAGCTCACCCGTGTTACGCCCTCTCCAGCAGCTGCATCCCTGGATGAAGGGAATGGTTGTTTGGGGCTGTTCCCAGCTCGGATGGGTCAGTCCTGCCTGGGGTAGCTTCAGGTGGAGCTGTCGGTCCCTCTGCTTGTCACGGAACGCGAGTGCTAAAGCAGGCAGTCCTTTTGCCTGCAAAGCCGCATTGTGTCCGCAGACGTCCCCAGGGACACTGCAGTCCGGCACCATCCGGCGTGGAAGAGAAGGTGACAGCAGTGAGCACTGGAATTAAGATTTGCTGGCAGAGTTGGCTGGGTCTTGCTCTCGGCAAACAAAACAAGCGGCGCTTTAACTGAGACCTCTGCAACCCAACTTGGTTGGGTCCATCAATAGGACACTTACTGCCTCTATTTTTCTTCCCCTGCCTTCCATTCGGCAGCTGGCAGAGAGAGAAAAATCAATATGATTTGCATACTTTTGTCAGGTTTTGAGGCAAAGCATTATTTTAGTCTTCCGCATTGATCTTTTGGCTGATCTGGGATAAATTCGGGTGGTCTCTCATCCTCCTTTAAAGATTTCAAACTTGATGTCTGCTTCTGCTGCTGCATTTGTTCTTTTGCTATGAATTATCTCATGTCTTCACGTTTAATTTTATCTCTGGTCCTATAGAGTGTATATTTCTCTCATGTTGGTATTGAAATATTTGAATGCAGGTTTTTATACTGTTGAATTTTCCATATATTTTTCCTCCAAATTAAATTTTTATCTCTGCTCTGTCATTTTATTTTTTCTACTATTTTAACAAAATAATGCAGAAGGGATAAAAATGATGGGAAAAATACAGCGGCTGATAGCTTCATACTTCACTACACAAACTTCTTATCCCAGAGCTCAGGAATTTAGGGACAAAGTAACTCAGCATAAGGAACTGATAATGCCCTTGAACTTCCATAAATATTGATTTGTTCACCCAGAGCAAGCAGAAAAATGGTATCTCTGCGCTTGTAAGGTTGCTGTATTGATAAAGCAAGCAGGGGATCGTTGCACAGCTCTGAAGAGCCGACATGCAATCCTGCAGGATCCTCTAGTAAGAGAGGATGCTTTGTGGGAATCGTGGCCTTTTGTGGCTGGGCTGGGTTGTAGCAGAAGGTGGATGGAAGTAAGATGTCTTGGAGATGACAGGATTTCCACTCCTTTCTGTGGCTGGGGGCTAGGTTTGCCTGATAATGCCCTTGAACTTCCATAAATATTGATTTGTTCACCCAGAGCAAGCAGAAAAATGGTATCTCTGCGCTTGTAAGGTTGCTGTATTGATAAAGCAAGCAGGGGATCGTTGCACAGCTCTGAAGAGCCGACATGCAATCCTGCAGGATCCTCTAGTAAGAGAGGATGCTTTGTGGGAATCGTGGCCTTTTGTGGCTGGGCTGGGTTGTAGCAGAAGGTGGATGGAAGTAAGATGTCTTGGAGATGACAGGATTTCCACTCCTTTCTGTGGCTGTGGGCTAGGTTTGCCGACATTGCCGGCATACGCTGATCCACCTGGGGTAAGCTGAATAACTGTGCGTAAGAGTCCTCCTTTCTATCAAAGTGAAAATATCACTACTACAAGCGTGATTTTTGAGTGGTTTGTCTGTACATCCTTTTCCCACCTTTTGAGACCAGGATATTCCTGTTGACCATGTGTGCACTGGGAGAAAGGCAAGCACATCCATCCCAAAGTGGAGTTTGGTGCTGAAAGAGCTTGTTGAATTCTGGCTCCAGAAAACTTTTCCCTTACGTGGGGTGGTGTGCGGAGCTGGTGCCAGCCGGGGAGCTCGTGGCTTCCAGCCCTCCCGGTCCTAGGCTGCACCTCTGCGTCTGCCAGCCTGTCCTCCCTCAACTCCCCACTGGAACGACTGGCATTTCCAGTTATCGAAGCCTCCAAAATGAAGGTGTCATTTTTCATGCATCTTTTGCTAACCCCTGGTGTGTTTTTCCTCCAGCGTACATACCGAATGCCAAAGGATATCCACGTTGAACCAGAGAAGTTTGCTGCAGAACTGATCAATCGTTTGGAGGAAGTACAAAAGGAACGTGAAGCAGAGGAGAAATTAGAGGAGCGCCTTAAACGCGTTCGAGCGGTTAGTAACCTCCTTGCCTCCTCTACCAGCCTGGGAGTCTGTCTGCGTACTGTACGCCACAGGGAGCTTTCAACTGCTATAGAAGCAACTGGGGTGACCGCTTCCCTACTCCAACAGCCATGCTCATCACTTGCATGGGGCTCCTGGAGGCTCCCATTGCCCCAGGAGCTTCCACGGTGCTGTTACCCCATCCACGCAGGGCTCTGAGCTCCAGCACTCCCTCCCTGCTGTAAGATACCAGCTATGGCACAGCAGTCCCCACTTCTGCCACCAGTTAGGGGCTGTGGATGCTCTCCATCATCTTCTTTGGCACCCTCGCTCTCCTGACTTTGTGAGCAATCCCTGCCATGCAAGGATGGGGACTATGTAACAGGGGTTCGCCTTCCCCTGTGGGGTATTGTGTGATCCCTATTTCCCCCACAAATGGTAACCAGATGGCAGGTGATGTTATGCTTGGAGGTGTTTGTGTGCTATCAGGCCGTTTCTACCACAACCAAAAGGGTTCTGCCCATCAATGCCTAGCACATGCCTAGAAAATTTGGAATTGATCAGGTGTAGCATCCAAAAACCCTCTCCTGGGCAGAGAAACGCACTGACTCCACGTGGGTGGCTGGGGAAACCCAGCCCATGGCACTGCGTGCCATGAACCCTGGTACCACTGGGGCCCTTCAGAGCTCGAGGACTTGGTAGATGAACCAAGGGAAGCGTGCAAGGCCTTTAGCTCCACAACAAGCTCCAAAAGGGAGAGAATGTGGTATTGGTCATCTGGTATTACCTGTGTGAGACACCCTGTTCAGCAGTATTCACACCATATCTTTTCTTCGGAGATACTGCATCTCATGGGTACCTGTACATCTTGTACTGGGGGTACAGGAGAGTTTTCAGAGGACACCACAGCGTTACTGAACATCACCAATGTCAGTATAACTACAGCCCTGTGTGAAGAAATTGTGGGTCTCTGCAGTTAATAGCTGCTGTGGCCCTGAGGCGAAGGTTCTGTGCTTAGTAACCTGCAGCTCTCCCTTAAAGCAAAGGTGTTGGTGCCTGTCTTGGCTAGCTCTGTGCTTTCAGAGAAGCTGAGCCTCTGGGGCTCCAGGGCAGACCCTTCAGCCCTATTAGAGTATTTTTAAATATTGATCAAGTAGCTCTTTAAACAGAAAAGAGCTGTAGGTTGTAGTATTCGCTTTAAATCACATCTGCATTTCAAATGCAGAGAAGTGAGGAAGGCAGAAGGATCTGTAAGGTTTCCTCCAGCTCCAAGCGTCGTCCAGCAAACTCTCTGCACCTCTGCATCCAGCCAGAAAAGGCCAGCAAAGTGCTATTTTGTGATTAGATTCCTGTTCTTCTGGAATTGCTCCATCTTCCTGTCTGGTACCTGTTGCTTTCTAGACAAAGCCGATGTAACCGGCAGCATTTTCTGCTAACAGTCCTAGAGCACTCTTCCTCCTCCTCCCGTGGCTCTGTTGCAGCCCCCACTTGTACCAGACTACATTATCCCAGCCCTCTGCCTCCTTGAAGAAGCTGCCAGTAGCAATACCATAAAATCAGCAAATACCTATGTGCCAGAGAATAAATTTAAGTCTGTTTAAACACATTTTTATGTGACTTAATCTATTTTTAAGCCCAGGACTCCCACTAATGCTATATATTAAACCTCCTTGCTGTCTCCAGAATGTATTTCATTGACTGGCTGGCATCTGGCATTAGCCATTCAGGAAAAACTCAGAGTAAGCAATTGTAGCTTTTTTAGGTCAGCATTTAAGGTGCAGGAGCTGCTGGTATCAGCAAGAGGAGAGCTTGAATCCTGATAGATCACAGGGCTTTTTTCTACGACCTGAACACCAGGACTACAGGGTAACCTCTTACGGGGTCTGCATGGCTCACTGAACAGCAGCACAGGGAAAACCATGAGCGTTAGTCACACTAGGCAGTTATCAGCTTAGCAGAGAAGCTGGAAATATTTTGCAAAAGCTAGGAAAAAAGAATTTTTCTCCCCCATACTGAGCTGCCTGCAGGTTCCCTTTCAAAGCCACATCATGCAGTCACATCGAGAAGAGGCATCTGATTTAAAGCCAAATGCCTTTTACTGAAAAGACTGTAAGATTTCTGTTTTTCAGAAAAACCCAAACTCTGAATTCATTAATTATTCTGAGCAACGTGGGAGAGGATTAGAGGATATGTGCGTTCCCTTACTACTTTTTGAGCCACTTCAGCCTCATGACCGTGCATGGAAGCTGCAGTATCGTATCATACAGATCAGTATCGTATCATACAGATCACTCTGTCTTTGTCTGAACTGAGCGAATTGAAAATAAGCCAGGAGAAGCAAAGCCACCACTGAGATTCTCGCTATTTGAATATAAAACATTGCCTAAGTAGAGAGGGAAATCATTTGCATGATGATCGAAAATGCACTCGTGGTTAGGTGAGCTATTTTGCCCTACCGACCAGCAGCAGCCTGATGGGTGGGACTGGGAGAAGGCAGAGGAGGTTTGCAGCAAAGTATCGCTTGCCTGTAGCTCATCAGCGCAGATCTCAGCCTCCTAATTCAAAGGGAAGGGCACCCCCAGCCTTGCTGGAGAGTAAAAATAGCTCAGCAGACAGTCAGCAAAGTTGAAGCCTGCATCTCTCTAACTGCCGCTGCCTTTGGGAGCTGATGGAAGAGGTTTCTGACAATATTATGTCAACAAAGCACCATCTAGTGGTTATGGCACCCGGTTAGATTATTATTATCCCCACCCGGCTAGAGGCTGCGCACGCCGCCAAGCTTTGCCCAGCTCACTGCAGCGAGATGCTGAAACACGGCTCTGGAGCCCACACCACCCCTGTGTCCAGGAAAGCCGAGCCCGTGGAGGAGGCTGCTCCCCAGACCCGCAGGTTTCTTTGGTGTAAAACGCTGCAGTTATTGCCTCTTGCCTGTGCCTCCTTGCTCACGTCACTGTCTTGTCTTCCCTTTCTTCTGCCTGTGCCAGCCGCGGGCAGGGCGAGGGTGCTCGGTGGGCAAAGGGATGCAGGTTAGGCAGCAGGCTTGTGCAGGCTGGGTGCGGGCAGGTTTGGGTGGGAGGGAATTGCCAGGCATAGACTGTGATCGGGTAACTCGGGCAAGGAGCACCTTGCAACACACCAGTGCATGCGGCTGAGCCAAGGCTTGACTCTGCCGTATCCCAAGTCCTGCGTTACAATCCCAGTTTGGACTGCGCCGACCTCATGCCCTATGTTGTTTTTTTCGCTGCAGACTAAGCACGGTGAAAAGATTCAGCAGAATTGGTATCTGCAGCCTTGACTCGAACCTTTGCCCTGCTCGAGGAGAGACGGCAGCTTGGGATAGGCACCCCAATTCCTTTATTAGCTACCATTTTCTCACTGTTGGGGCTTTCTTACCTGATGTGAGGCTGAGAGCAGTGCTAGGGGATGGGAAGCCAGCTGCCCCAGAACTTGCCTGCACACCACCAACCCCAGCAGCACTTGCTCCTGCCTGAGGACCTGCTTGGGGTCCAGATCTCCTGCTCGGTGACATAGATGAGCTGAGCCAAGGCAAACTGAGAGAGAGCCAATGCATCCCTCTCCTTCCCTTAGCCCACCCTGATCTCAGTCTCGGAGCAAAGCAAAGTACCAGGTCCCGGTTATCTGCAAAATGGAGTTCCAGGCAGCCAGAGGATTTCCCAAATCCCAGGCACCCATTTGGCTGGACCACCCCGGGTTGTCACTCTCATGCCACCCTGCTGTGGTGTGACAGCACTGCCGGAGCTCTGGACCCTGAGCAGGAAGGACACGCTGCCATTCCTCAGGGATCTGCGCCAGGGTCAGATCTTGCTCTGCACGTTAGTTGGTGTTTAAACCTAAGAGTTTTCCAGAAAGTAGGTACGAGCCCTAAAAGCCTCCCAAGTGCTGAGCACATCGTTGCGTTATCATAAACCGCTAATAAACGCTTACCCCAGTGGTAGGGATTTAGTCAGCACATGCTTCATCTTTTCTTGTCCCTGAGCTAGGTGCCCAGGGACGGTGGTTGGCAGGCTGCAGCCTTGTGGCTGTAGATGAAAGGTGCTTCTGAAGTTCTTCAAAGCGATTTGTTAGAAAGTGGTGTTTCCCCTCCAGACGTGGGCATCGTGTCACACCCCCAGGCTTGCAGCGCCCACGCCTTTGGCACTTTCAAAGCCTGGCATTGTCCCTGCTTCAGGTTTGAACCCCCAGGTGTGACACTGGGAGGAAGTCTGTTATTTGCTTTCTTGCTGCGTGGTTGGCAGCTGAAACTTCGAAGCTGGTTAGCAAGTGATGGATGATGACATCTGACAGGCAAAGCTGATGGGAGTCAGTGTTTTCTAGCAGATGCATTTATCTGGCAGGGCAGAGATACCCTGTGCTGCAACTGATTTCTTTACTGTGCCAAAGGAGGAAAAGAGAGCGGGATTAAAGGACTTGCTGGAATCCTGCTTATGTAATTAAAAAAAATAGGAATCCTGACTTCCAATAAAGAAACTTCATAAATACCTGAGTTTATGTTGGAGCGTAAAGTAGTTTGTCAGCATCAAAACTGTGGCTGTCAGCATGGAGGAGTTTTATTCTTCCTGGCAAGGACTTAAGAGTCGCTAACAGCATGTCCTAGACCGTTGTGAACTACAAGAACAAGCAGTTAGTTCCAACCCGTTTCTTTATCTGCGTGAAGTGTTTCACTCCAGCCTTAGCATGCCTGGGAGAAATCAATGTTTGATTTTCAAAACCATTTATGCTACTGTCGACCTTCAGTTGCTCCCTCCTGTTACAAGCCTGCTGTTGGCTTTGCCTTGTGAAATAGTCATTCAGGTGAGAAACCCCCCTGGTCTCGCCTGACTTGAGAACTGTTTTGCCGCATATCCTGTAACTTTGGGCTTTATCTGATGGGCTTTGAAGCAGTGCCTTACCAAAGGCTCGTAGGAAGTTGCAGGTATGGTGCGGTAAGTTGTGTTTCCGCTGCTGGTTGTTACAGAACCACCTTCAAGGGACTTGGGGAGCTCTTTAGTAAGGTTCTGCCCACTCATACATCCGATTGAGTTGTTACGCTTGTCTGAAAGCTGCGTCTGTAAACCCTGGTTGTGATGTGTGGGCTGCCTGTCAGAGATTGCCTCGGTCTCTTTGGGTAATGCGTGGAGACCCTTGCTAATGGTGGCTCAAAAAGCAGGTACGGAGACCTGAGCAGCTCTGCTCGGTGGCAGCAAGACTGCACAGGCTTGGGTTGAGCATTAGGAAGTTTTCTGCGGGAGGGTGGCACAGTCTGGGACAGGACTCCAGAGGGGTGGTGGATCTCCGTCTTGAAGGTTTTCAAGATCTGGCTGGACTAAGCCAGGCCTGACCCAAGGGTTGGCAGCAGTCCTGCTGCAAGCAGGAGGCGGGACTAGGGACCCCTTTCACCACTCTGCTGTCATTCTCTGATTGTCCTCGTGTTTCTTGCAGGAAGAAGAAGGTGAGGATGCAGATATCTCTTCTGGTCCCTCGGTCATTAGCCACAAGATGCCTTCCGCCCAAGCCTTTCATCACTTCGCTCCTCGTTACTCTGAGATGGGCTGCGCTGGGATGCAGATGAGAGATGCCCATGAAGAAAACCCAGAAAGCATCCTCGATGAACACGTACAGCGTGTGATGAAAACACCAGGCTGCCAGTCTCCAGGACCTGGCCGCCACTCTCCTAAGCCACGGTCCCCGGAAAGTGGCCACTTGGGAAAGCTGTCAGGGACACTAGGAACAATTCCTCCAGGACATGGCAAGCACGCAACAAAATCAGGAATGAAACTGGATGCAGCTAACTTATACCACCATAAACACGTCTACCACCACATCCATCACCACAGCGTGATGAAACCAAAAGAGCAGATCGAGGCTGAGGCCACGCAGCGAGTGCAGAACAGCTTTGCTTGGAATGTAGATTCACATAACTATGCAACAAAGTCACGAAACTACACTGAAAACTTGGGCATGGCCCCTGTCCCCATGGACTCTTTAGGCTACAGGTGAGTCAAGGCAACACCCAACGGGAGTCCCAGAGCTGTGGCTTCTCTAGGAAGCTCTTTCATAAACAGGCTGTAGCATGTTGGTGAAACAGTTGCTGAACCACATTTTCTTGTGAAAGCCTATGCTGGGACATGGTTTGAGGGCCTTCCACTGATCTTCCCCTTCAGAAACGGATATGTCCCCTGAGAACCCTTATAGACCCCTTTTCATCTCTCTGATCTGGTGCTGAAAGACACCCTCTAACCAGGATTTTTAATGGCCTTGGTTATAAAGTAGGTTTTCTGCTCCTTAAAGCAGGGGAGGTGTGCTTAGAAATTGCACATGGTGGTCTGCTTCCCCGTGCATCAGGAGTTGCTAAGTATAGGGCTGTGTCTCGGGGTCTGGGTAACAGAAACCAGTCTTCTAAGGTGTTTATGAGAAGACAAAAAAGCCCTCCTTATTGCAAGGCCAAACCCATTCACCAGAAGGGCTCCTTTCTCTTCCTAACAAAGCGGTGGACACTGCGGTGCTGCTGTGGCATCCTGTCCCAAGGGGACGTTCTCCGGGGTAGGGGACCCTCTGCCTAGAAAAGACATTTTGCTACCTTACGGGCTTTTGCCTATCTTCCCTTGGCCGTTTGAATTCCTCCATCCTCTCCTTGCTGAGGGGAGAGGGTGAAGCTCCTTCTCCGCTGCGGTGGGTTTTGCGAGTCCTGACTGCAAAGGTGAGAGCAGAGCTCGGGGCTGCCCGGAATAAGGGATGGTGATGCAGGAGCTGCAGGGGAGAGCTGTGCTCACCCTGAGCACGGCTGGCTCCCCAAGGCTGTGGGTTTGGGGTGTTGCTTTGCAGGTACCAGGGGTGGGATATTTAGTGAAGGCAGGTGGCTGGGTCTGCAGCGGGCAGAACCACCTTTCCGGGGTAGCAGGAGGGAGGCAGAGTGCAGAGGCAGCCGAAGCAAACTGCTCTCCAGGGAGGGAGGAGCACTTAAATCTGCCCTGTTTCTATGGGGAAAGGGTTGTTGCTTCAACAGAGCATGAGCATGGCCACGTTGTGTCAACCCAAAGCCCCATCTAGACACACGACTTCTCTCTAGCACTGACTACAGCATATATTTAAGGGGATTACAAGAGGGCACATTCAGAGCTGTCCTTCCTCTGGCCCAAACTCCCAGTTCCTGACAGTCCCCGGGTTAGGAGCTTCACAAGACAAGAGTTGGCATCCAGATGGTCTTGTTTGGCAGCCAGCAGTCTCTTGCAGTGGCTTGTCTGGCTCCTTGTTGAACCCAGCCGGGCTGCTATCCCCCCAGCCCCCCGCGGCTGTGTCTGTGGGTTGATTACAACCTGCAGAAAAAGGCTTTTTATTTTTTCGTTTGCACTGAACCTGCTGCTGGAGAATTTCATTTGATACCCACTAGTCCTCATGTGGGGAGAAGCAGACAAGAAGCTGTCAGTTTGCCCTGCCTTTGTAGATCTTCAGCAACCCCTCTCCAGGTTTTTTCCCCCAAAAATTAGCAAAGCTGTCTGAGGGCCTGTTACTCTTCTGCGGTGTTAAGGTTATTTTTCCTATGTGTTTTAGCGCACAGAAGCAGAAGTAGGGAGGTCCTATGGAGTAAAGCGGGTGGGTGATTAGGACGGTGGGGGTCCCATGAAATTACAGGCTGTGGCAATGACAGGCCAGCACGGGTGAATTCTGCATGGCCTCATGAGCATGGGGCTGCCCGGCTGGGCACGTGGGCATGGATGTGGGCATTATTGCTGCAGTCATAAGCACAGCCAGAGTGTCAGCTACTGCCTGGCGTCTGTCTGGCTATGGTGTTTGAGGTGGCTGGGCTTCCCAGTGCACAGGAGCCCACAGAAGGCAGCCCACCCCGCTAGGATGTGATCTTCCACCATGATGTGAAGCCTCGGCTCAAATCGGGGTGAGAAACGAATGCTGGGCATGGCAAATCAGCAGTTTGGGGTATCAGTGAATCTGGGGGTTGATGAGAAGGGCTCACGTTTCCAGCAGTGGTCTGGCATGGAGAGGCAGCCGACGGATTGCAGCACCAAGATGAACCTCCTGCTCTGAGCAAAGAGCCAGGGGTTTAACACAACCCTTTGTGAGGCAGGAGATCTGCTGGGCTTTTTGCCATGTTGCCGTGGCTCATTTGGCCAGAGGAGAAGCTCCCTTTCCCCGCAGGTGGCTGGACGGAGAGGCCTGCTGTGCCTAGGTCTGGCCAGTCTTGCCCTTGGCCTCAACCGCGGCACAGTTGGCTTGAGCTGTGGTAGAGCCAGGGGGCTGTGGAAGGCAGCCAGGGCCACGTCTGCACTGCAGGCAACACCAGACCCCGGCAGGACTGAATATGTCTGGAGATAGACGTGTCCATCCTCTGCCACGGTCTGCGGTGGTTTGGCTTAGGCAAAGCGCTAATGTCTCAAGCTTTGTTCTTGCAGTGGGAAAGCAAGTCTGCTCTCAAAAAGAAATGTTAAGAAGACCGATTCAGGGAAAAGTGATGGTGCCAGCTATGAGATGCCAGGATCTCCTGAAGACGTGGAGAGAAACCAGAAGATCCTTCAGTGGATCATAGAAGGAGAGAAGGAGATCAGCAGGCATAAGAAAACAAACCATGGGTAAGGGCTGGCAGAGCGAGGGGTCTTCACACTGTTGTATTGCATCCCCTGCACAAGGCATGTGTGTCTACGCTGTCCGGCAGTCTGCCTTATTCCTGGAGATCTTGGGAAGACAAGAATCCACCAGGCACAAGCGTTTAGACCCTTTGGAGACTGAGGATTGCTCGGGGGCTGTAAGGGCAGGTTTTTTCTGAAAGATGACTTTGTGGCCATGGCGGGGAGACTGCAGCCCCAGGGGAATCTCACAAATTGCTGCTGTGGTTCCAAGGTGGATAACGCGGCACACAGTAGGTAGTATTTTTCCTTTAAGCATTTGCTGTATGTAAATGCCTCTTACTCCTGCAAGGTGCTGATAGAAACATTGGACGTGCTGCACTGGCGCTGTTGGTCCTGAGTAAGCAGTTTAGCACGGCTCAGGGTTGCCCAGCATTTCGGCTTGCTGGGAGCATCCTCTGGGATGGCCTCGCCTGCCTAGAGTGGAGCCAAGGACGTGACTGTCTCAGGAATCTGTCTGGAGTCAAGCAGATCTCCTGCAGGCACGGATCCTTAGTCAACAGTTTGGTCAGTCTCTGGCAAAAAAACAGTGCTTGCCGGGCGTCGACGAGAGGGATCTGGGGTCTCGTCCCCTCTGACGCTGCTGCGCTGGTGGCTGAGTGGTGAAACTGCTGGTGGTTTCTTCTCTTGCTTAATGGTAGAGGCCAGGGTGGGTTGCACTGCAGGCAGCTGGGGCCGAGTGCCAGAGCCATGGGCAGTGCCGGGCCACCGTGAAGTCAGGCAGCAGGTTCTGCTGCTGGAGCTGGGGAAGGACGAGCACATCCCTGCAACATCTCTTTCCCTGGAGATGCCGACCAGCAGTTCATGGAGAGGCTCGCAGCCTTGGAATGTCGGCAGCACATGGGAGGGCATCTTCTGGGGGAATGTCTCAAATGGTGGGGCTGCCTTTTGCTGGTTTTATTTTTATGTATCGTGGACTTGATAAGAGCCCTTAAACAGATCTGCGGGCTTTGTGTCAGGGTTGGGTTGCTCACCCTGATGTCTCAGGACTTGCTGTCCTGAAATCGTCTCTAGACATGGATGGTGCTCCCCTGTCGCTTGGAAGCCGTGCTGTAAGGAGCTTCCCAGTGGTGCCCTTGTCCAGCTGCAGAAGCAGTAGGTCCACCTAGGAGTGACTGTGTGCCTGTCCAAAGCGGCTCAGCCGTCTGGGTAAAAAGACGGCTTAAAAAAACCCTTTGTGTTTGTGTGTAGCTCTTCAGGTGCTAAGAAGCAGCTGTCCCATGATATGGTCCGACCCCTCTCCATTGAGCGGCCTGTTGCGGTGCATCCGTGGGTCAGTGCCCAGCTCCGAAACGTCGTCCAGCCTTCTCACCCCTTCATCCAAGATCCTACCATGCCACCCAATCCAGCCCCCAACCCTCTCACTCAACTGGAAGAAGCTCGCAGGAGGTTGGAGGAGGAGGAAAAAAGGGCTGGAAAACTTCCCCTTAAACAAAGGTATGGTGATAGGGTCTGACTGCGCGTGGGAGGGAAGAGGGGGACTTCTCTGAAGGTGGGCAGCTGAGGGAGTTGTCCGCTGCCCTCTGCTCTGGTCTCCAGCTCCCAGCACCACCTGCGTGGAGGCACATGCAGAGAGGTCAGAGAAATCTGCCCCAGTCCCTCTAACGTGGTGGTGCAAATGCCAAAACCCACCTTGAGGCCTTGGGCTTGTGGTTTGTGGATGGAGAAGCTGGAAATGCTCTTGGGAGGGAGGGGAAGGGGCTGCTGAGAGCTTGAGGAGGAGCTGGGCAGGGGGAGTGTGTCTAGAAGGGGCATGGTATGGGACAGCTCTCTCCCCCAGTACTCGCTGACTCTCGGCTTGTTCACGCTCGCACAAGAATTTCAAAGGTTGGTGCAGGAGCAGAATTCAGCAGGCTGCAGCAAAATTATGTTCAGAAGAAGAACATGTATTTGCTCTTTGTCTGCATCTCCCTCAGGCTTCTGGCAAAGGCTGCTCGAGCATCTGGATGGGAGCACTGCACTGTAGTCCCACTGCAACAACATTGACTCGCTGCACGGCCCTGTCCAAGTCACTGCATCTTTTTGTGACTCAGCTTAATGCCTGTTGCAGAGCTAATTCTCCTGCTCCTGTGTTATCTTTCAGGGAAGATTATTTGCAAGGCACATGGAGCTCTCAGATGAAAAGTGTTTTGGAAGTGCTAGATAATTACTGCTAACAGCTAAAAGCACTTTGTCCATTAAAAACCTTTCACAGCTTTATAGCTGTATTCTGAAAACTTGAAACTTTGGCGTCTGACTCTGAGCAACACGAGTGTAATTTAAAAAAGAAGCTCTTTTAATTGCTGAGCTCCAATTATTTTTGCTTGTAGTGACCATGTAGCAGACTTCTGCATATTTATGTCAGAGCATTTATTGAAAGCCAGGTAATTAGAGGGCTCTCCCAAGTCAGGTTAAGCCAAGTTTATTTGATCTACCTTTCAGCTTGTGTAATTGGATAGTGTTTATTAGTAGAGTCATTTATAGTCGTACTAAATTCATGCACCTTCCTCAGAAATGTCTAGATGCAGATACACACTTTGGAAACACCGACCTGGGCTATAGGCATATGCAATTAATGCTCTAATAATAATTTGGCGTGTATTGTAAGTGTAGTTTTTGTAGGAACCCCATGGTGTTGTGGTAAATGCCGTGCAGATCAGTGGGAGGACAGGCTGAGCAGTCCCAGTGCTGGGCTGCTCTGCTTACGCTGCCTGCCCACGAGGTCCGGCTCTTCTCCCGGTGATGCAGGGATCCCCCTGACTTGCCCCGTGCCTGGAAAACCAAGGAGCCATGTTCGCCGGGAGGGAACTGCTCATGGAAAGTAAATGTGCTCATGTCCAGCAGCAAGCAAGAATGGATGCAGTGGTCCCCAGGGAGCCAGGGGTTTCTGGATGTTGAAATCTCTCTGCTGGGTTTTGGCAGGATTGGGTGCTCCAGCTGAAGCGCACCTGAGCTAGCAGCTTTTTAGAGAGCTCCTGCTATGGGTAGCACAGGAGCCTGCCTGAAAATAGACCCCAAGTCTCTTCTGAGGGGGGCTGCCCAAAGCTGGCTGGGGAGCTAAGGAGAAAGAGAGAGGGCAGTTAATGTGAAAACACCATTTATTTCAGCCGGGAGCTCTGGAGAGCTCTGGGAAATTGGAGCCAGTGCCCAGGTTCGTTGGCAGCCTGGGGGAAGCCACAGGGCAGGGGAGGTGGAGGTGAGCCCGAGGTGTCCTTGAGGCACCGGCTTGAGCTGGCTGCAGAAGGAGAATGCACCGTGCCAGCTTTGTACGGCCAAGCTGACCTTGCCGGCACGGTTACCCGGCTCACCAGCCGCTCTCCTCTGGCACAGCCCTCACCAGCAGTGGCCTTCCCCAGCTAACTGCCCGCTGCTCTGGCTGGGGGTGCCAGCAGCCCCGCTCCCACCCCCGCACGCCCCGCTAGAAATCAAGGAGGCGCCTGTGGTGCCTGTACTGGGAATCATAAATATTCTTCCAGAAATCACACTTCTGTTGCCGAAAAAGCCTTTCTTTCCCTATTCCACAGCATTTGGAGGGACACTGATCTCTGAGATAGCTACATGGCTGCTGCTAGGACACAGTGCAGGATTAAGTGTCCGGTACTGAATGACCTGCGGATCCAGCGTGCCCAGCATTTGTGTCCCAGTCACCATCAGGTTTCTTGCATGTACAGCCAGGTTTTGAGCCATTTTCTGTAGCTTAGTGTCACATTTCACTTATGTTTGCAGCTGGATGAAGTAATTCCTACCAGCTCTTCAGAGAAAAGATTTTTGCAAGCAGAGGGAATGTTAGCGTGAGCTTGGTTTGGTATTAATCGGGTTGGGCCAAGCCTGGAAGATGAGCAGAGCTGGCCGCTGGGACACCTCCCGAGGTAACATCTGCTGGGTGCGTTTCAGGCTTTCCAAAGCCCTCCAGCCCCAGGGCTGAGTTGGAGCGGGCTGGGCACCTCACCTCTGCGTCGCAGCGAGGTTGGATTTGTGCTCTAACCCAGATTTAGTTTCCCTGTCATGGCACCACTGGGTTATACGGCTGAAAAATCAGGAGGGGTAGTGGAGTGCAGATGCGACAGGTGAGACAAGTGCTGCCGTTTCCTTACCGGATAACGTTTTGTGTGTGTGACAAATGCAGCGAAGGGAGCTGATCCCAGAAGGGGCAGGGTGGTGGTACCTGGCTGTGTTTCACGCTGCCACCCAGGAGATGGGTGCAGGTGGAAGCTTTAATGAGGCAGAGCTCAGACACGGTCTGGTGGCCTGTTTGGGTAAGCCGTGGTCTCGGGAGATCTCTTGGCAACGATGAAAGCGGAGACGGTTGTGTTGTCTTGCTCTCCTGAGAGAAACTCTTGAAAAATTACATTTTCAGTGATTCCTTATTCATCAGCCCTCCTTCAGCCTGCGAGAGATCGATGGCTGTGGTTCGGGATGCGTGCGTATCCTGCTCCCGGCCAGCCAGTCCCGCTGCACGGCCTTGTTCGGCCCCAGGAGCTCGGAGGCACCACAGCCATCCACCCCTGCTTTGATTTATGGTAAAAGCAGGGGATCCAAAACCACGGGGGTTGTTTTTAACTCTAGCTCTGTGAAGCGGTGCAGAGTTTCTGCTTTCGGGCATCGTTTCAGGCATCGTTTTCGGGCACATCTCCGCTCGGGAAAAAGGTGAGCACTGGAGCCGGGCTGAGCACATTCAGAAACGGCCTTTCAGGGACGAATTACGCAGCAGGAGGAGGAAGGCTCCCAATGACCAGCATGGTCCCCCTCTTGCTTCTACCGTGGCAGAGCTCAGGGAGGATCCTCTCCATCTCCCCAGGCGAAGGAGAACGGCTTTGCTGCCTGCACAGGGCACGTAGCTGTGTCCCTAGGTCCCCAGGTGCCAGGTCCCCGGGCATGCAGCAGCTCTCTCTTAGTCACGACTTGTTTCTAGCAGGATTAAGAGAAGCTTAGGGACTTTGAGATTTTCCAAACCTCTTCAATTAATTAACTTTTGGCTCACAGGGTTCACAGAATTTGCCTGAATTTATGACCCATTTTTCCTTTAAATGCTTCTTTTTTTTTTTTTTCCCCAAGGATGATTCAATTCCTTAATGTTTTTCTAGCTAAAGGGCATCCTGTGCTTTGATATGGCAATGGGGGAGGCTCCGAGAGCTCTGCTGGCACCAGGAGTGGACCCTTGCCTCTCAGGATGCCGTATCTTCTCCAAAGGTCTCCCAGGCAGAGCAGGCACCAGGAGGGTCGTTCAGTTGAACTTTAGACCTCTCATGCCTTTAGAAAGAGGTGAAAAGATTGTGTCTGGTCTCGGATGGAATGCCGATGTTTATGTGGGCATGTCATTAAAAAGGTGCTGTGCCCACGAGCCAACGCTAAAGGTTAGGGTCAGAGTCATTTCCAAAACTGCGATTACCTCATATGTGCTTGGCAAATTCTGTTTTTTATAGCAACTTTCCAGTCATGTAAATACAAAATCATCTTTTTTATCCAGCGTGCTTTTTAAATAATTTTTTAAAGCTGCCAAATTTGTTTTATGTGACTTTGAAAGCGAAGGCTGCCTCTGGCTTAGACCACACATGCCAAGTTACCAATTTGTGTAGGCTGCTGCAATGTTTGTGCAGCATTTACGGCACCCCAGATGAAAGGCTCTACAGAAGGGCAAAGTACCCTGATTTTTATTATTGCTACTTTTGTCTACCTCTGAAAATGGGGTTAGGACTGGGCTGACGCTTTCGGTCTAGTGATGGCACCACGTAGCAGAACCCCGGTGTGTGGGCTGGAAGCAGAGACCAGCCAACATCCTGAGAGTCAGGAAAACACAGGAGATTTAAAGTCACTGAGGTTTTGGGGATGGCGGCTGCCTTGCCACCCTGCGCGGACGGGACGGGCAGCGAAGCCTCCAGGGCATGTCCCGCTGGGAGCTCCATCCCCTCCGACTCCCATCTATGCTGGGAGAGGTGCCCAGGGGAGCTGTGGGGAGCAGGAGCGGTCCTGTCTACGCAGCCCTGCAGATGTAGGTCAGCGGAGAGCCGTGCTGAGCTATTTTGGCCACGGCAGCAATAATTCAGAGCGGTCTGAGCAGTGTTTGTGTTATCGTCCCCAAGTGCACATCCAGCCCTGCGTGCTCGGTGCGCACCAGGAGCGTGCTGATGGTGACCTGGGGCTCCTGCTGTGGGCTTGGGATGCTTCTGCCTTGCCCGGAGCTTACCAATGACTCCCCGAGCCAGTGGTGCTGTGTGAAGGGCCATCCCCTCTCAAAGCCCAGGGATGGGTTTCTTTAGCACGAAGGGGCTAAGCTAGAACCTGTGCCCTCCTTGTAGCTGCCGTCTGGCCCCATCCAGCCTTTCCAAGTGCCGTTTGCTCCTTCGCTGGCCTCAGTACGCGGCTGCGTGCCAAGAGAGCTGGTGGTTGGAGCACAGGATGCTCCTGGGGGCCCTGGGTGTTAATTCAGCACCTCCATCCAGGCTCTGCAGATACGGGCTGTCGGGCCTGCCCACGCTGGCAGGTAGGCTGATACTCAGCAGGTCGCTTGTATTTTTGCACGGCAGGTTGAAGCCCCAGAAAAGACCAGGCAGCGGCGCGTCCCAGCCGTGCGAGAACATCGTGGTCGCTTACTACTTCTGCGGAGAGCCGATCCCTTACCGCACCCTCGTCAAAGGGCGCGTGGTGACGCTGGGACAGTTCAAGGAGCTGCTGACCAAGAAAGGGAACTACAGGTAAGGGCTGCTCCCCACGTGTGGTATGGTGCCAGCAGACTGTCAAGGACCCCTGGCAGGTGCCACTGTCAGGACACGGTGGTGTTGCCCCCTCCAAGGTGAAGGAGCATAGTGGAGGTAGGTCAGGGGGGCTCCTGGAGCCTTCCAGGAGGGCTCCCGAAGGGCATGCTGTGGTGGGGATGTGGCAGCACGGCCAAGGCGCCTTGGCTGTTGAAGAGGCAGGTTACAGGGACGAGGGAGATCAGGTTTTGTAGCAGAAATGTCCTGCATCACGATTTGCACCTTCAACAGAAGCCGCTGAGCTGCCCTGCAGGGTCCTGCGGGGTCCTGGGCTGGTGAGGAGCAGCATCAGCCGGTGCTCAGTGATGCTGTGGGAAACCCTCCAATTTCCAGAGCCATTTTGGCTCCTCCCAAAGTTTTCTCCAGTGAGGACAGGGAGGTTGGGTCCTGCCGGAGTCCCAAAGGAGCCAGGCTTGGGGCACGTAGCTCTCCAAGTTCCCCCTTCCAAGTAGGAGCTGCCATGGGAAAGCCTGCCTAGAAATGCTCCACCAACATGGGTGCCTCCAGCCACTGCTTTTGAGAGAGCTGTGAATGGGCTTGGATTCAGGGCTGGAGCTCCTGAACATGCCAGCATGGATCCTGACCACTCTTTTTTGCTCACTGGGTGAGGGCAGGGGCAAGAAGTGTGGCCCCAGCTGCTTCCATGTCTGGGGAAGCGGCTCCCCATGCACCACAAGCTCAGGGGCATGGAAGGGCTGTACCCAGGTTTGGGGACCGTGGTGCCCTCATGACCGTTCACCTGCTTTTTTTCCTCTCTGCCCCCATGTTTCTGGTTTTTCAGGTATTACTTTAAGAAAGTGAGTGACGAGTTCGACTGTGGTGTGGTCTTCGAGGAGGTGCGGGAGGATGACACCATCCTGCCCATCTTTGAAGAGAAGATCATCGGGAAGGTGGAAAAGATCGACTAAGCTCCAGGGCTGCCGAGGCATGAGGGACAGGACTGTGAAAGACTCTGGGACCGGAGGAGAGGGCCTGGGGCGAATGCTGGCGGTGCTGCTGCCATGGGCGCCAGGCAAGCCCGGGGCGGAGGGCGGCAGCC